ATATTAGCTTCTGCTACCCAATGCAATGGGTAAACTCCTCACAGAAAATAAAGAAAATCTGGCGGGGTGAGGTAGCTCACACCTGTAATCCCAGCAATTTGGAAGGCTGAGGTGAGTCGATCACCTGAGGTCAGGAGTTCGAGACCAGCCTGGCCAACATAGGGTAATCCCATCTCTACTAAAAATACAAAAATTAGTTGGGCATGGTGGCGGGCACCTGTAATCCCAGCTACTTGGGAGGTTGAGGCAGGAGAATCATTTGAACCTAGGAGGCGGAGGTTGCAGTGAGTCAAGACCGTTCCATTGCACTCCAGACTGGGTAACAAGAGCAATACTCCGTCTCAAAAAAAAAAAAAAAAAAAAAGAAAATGAAGAAAATTGACTTGTTTCACATTCAAATGTGTGAGCTAGAAGTCACACAAGGTCAGAAAAATGAATAAAATGATCAAGGAGGACTTCATTTATTTTTAATCCTCAGGCATCTTACTCTCCTATTGATCAGGTGTTGGTTTGTCTTTGTTGTTATATGTGACAATCAAGGGACCCAGCCATTCCTGCGTTTTTTAGAAGTAAGCATGAGGTGGCCGGGTGCGCTGGCTCACGCCTGTAATCCCAGCACTTTGGGAGGCCGAGGCGGGCGGATCACGAGGTCAGGAGACCATCCTGGCTAACCCGGTGAAACCCTGTCTGTATTAAAAATACAAAAAATTAGCAGGGCGTGGTGGCGGGCGCTTGTAGTCCCAGTTTCTCGGGAGGCTGAGGCAGGAGAATGGCGTGAACCTGGGAGGCGGAGCTTGCAGTGAGCTGAGATCGCGTCACAGCACTCCAGCCTGGGCGACAGAGTGAGACTCCGAGCCTCCCCCCATCCCACAAAAAGAAGTAAGCATGAGGTAGTGAAGCCAAGCGTCCCAAAAGTGAGAGGGACTGCCAGTGCTCGAAGTGATCTATTTTTGAGGGTGGGAAGGAACCAGCCTGGAGGAAGTTGATTGAAGTAGATTCTGGTGGGCAGATCCCTAGGACATTGAAAGAGAGCACCAGATAGCTACCAAAAACAAAACAAAAAAGCAAAACAAACAAAAAACCTGACCATTCCCTCCCATCCGAAGTCTTGGGATTTGGAGGATGCAGGATAATCAATGTCCCACTAGGTGGCACTGATGATCCACATTTGGGATATCCGGAGTCTGTCTCTATGGCAACAAGTTTACAAATTTATAGGGAGAATTGACTTTGTCCTCTGGGGTGTGTGTGTCTGTGTGTATGAAGGAGTTTTTGAGTGTTCAGAAAAGTCTGCTCTGTGCAGAAGGGACCACTGATATGCAACTGTCAGATAGAAAATCAAGGAAATATTATCATAGTGAGCACGGCAATAAGGAACGAGAGAGGAGAAATCACTCCTCCCAATGCAGTAACAAACTACCTTGCCGCTTGGACTCTAATGGTCTCTAATGCATGCGGTTAGGAAGCAGGGCTCCGAGGCATGCTGGGATCCTGGGGCTGGGCTGCAGGCTGGATTTGCTTTTGTGCAGGCCATTACTGCAGGAGCTCAGCCTGCAGGGGGCTGGGGTTGCTTGAACTATGGATGTTTTAGGGATGCGATGATAGAAAATATTACAAATGCCCAGATATCTAGTTCTTTTTTTGAGACGGAGTTTCGCTCTTTTTGCCCAAGCTGGAGTGCAATGCCGCGGTCTCGGCTTACCTCAACCTCCGCCTCCCGAGTTCAAGCGATTCTCCTGCCTTAGCTGGGATTACAGGCATGCACCACCACTCCCGGCTAATTTTTTGTATTTAGTAGAGACGGGGTTTCACCATGTTGGTCAGGCTGGTCTCAGACTCCTGACCTCAGGTGATCCACCCACCTTGGCCTCCTAAAGTGCTAGGATTACAGGCATGAGCCACTGCACCTGGCCCCAGACATCTAGTTCTGCATGCTACTATATGTCTAGACAGTTACAGTCCATCTCTCTTGGGTGTGGGTTTCCTATGCTGGCTGTACAAAATGTGTTTTTCGGCCGCAGCCTCCCAAGTAGCTGGGATTACAGGTGCCTGCCACCATGCCCAGCTAATTTTTGTATTTTTAGTAGAGATGGGGTTTCACCATATTGGCCAGACTGGTCTCGAACTCCTGACCTCAGGTAATCTGCCCGCCTTGGCCTCTCAAAGTGCTGGGATTACAGGCATGAGCCATCGCACCTGGCCAAGATTTTATTTTATTTATTTAATTTTGAGATGGAGTTTCGCTCTTGTCACCCAGGCTGGAGTGCGATGGCACGATCTTGGTTCACTGCAACCTCCGCCTCTTGGGTTCCAGCAACTCTCCTGCCTTAGCCTCCCCAGTAGCTAGGACTACAGGCGTGCACCACCATGCCCAGCTAATTTTTGCATTTTTAGTAGAGATGGGGTTTCACCATGTTGGTCAAGCTGGTCTCGAACTCCTGACTTCAGGTGATCCACCTGCCTCAGCCTCCCAAAGTGCTGGGATTACAGGTGTGAGCCACTGCACCCGGCCAATTTTATTATTTTAAAATGATGAGATAATTGAAAATAAAAACATTTCTCCAGAAACAAGATTATTGAAATATAAAATTTTCCCCAAAATTGTTGAAACTTGGCATCTCTAAAAATACATACAATGTTTGATATGGTTTAGATCTGTGTCCCTGCTCAAATCTCATGTCAGATAGTAATCCCCAATGTTGGAGGTGGGGCCTGGTGGGAGGTGATTGGATCATGGGGCAGATTTCTCATGAATGGTTTAGCACCATCCTTTTGATGCCGTTTTCGTGATAGTGAGCGAATTCTCACCAGATCTGGTCATTTAAAAGTGTGTAGCACCTCCCTCTTTCCTCTCTTGCTTCTGCTCCTACCATGTGAGACAACTCGCGCTCTCTCCTCCTTTGCCTTCCGCCGTGATTGAAAGTTTTCTGAGGCTTCCCCAGAAGCAGAAGCTGCTATGCTTCCTGTACAGCGTGCAGAACTGTGAGACAATTAAACCTCTTTTCTTTATAAATTACCCAGTCTCAGGTATTTCTTTATACCACTGTGAGAACGGACTAACACAATGTTGATGATGTAATTTTTGTTTTTCAAATTCCTGATTCTGAAAAATTAAGAAAAATAGAAACAAATAATTGTTTGGAAAATTGCATGAGTCTATCCTGGGTTTTGCCTTTTTTTACCCTTATACCTTACATTTCTTTCAGTTAGAAAGTTGGGAACCAAGAAAGACACCATCAACCCCACATATAAGTGGCTATAAAAGAAGTCATGAATGGCAGATGGACATGGGCACTTGTAATAACACATGATGTAAAAAATTCAAATTATGTTACTGCAGAACATTTCACACATCAGTGAACAAATGAAATATTAACAAGTAGACATTTGACTCTTCCTTCCACATCCCTAGAAAGTCTGCATATTCGAATTGACCCCAGAACTTTAAAAAAATTAACATATTCTCATTAGGAAAGTGAGACATCACTTTATATTTATTTGGTTGTCAGGGAAGGCTTCTCCCCTTCCTTGTTCTAAGCTAAGAATTTAACTATTTCTATGGCCACTTAACTTCTGACACAGCAGAGGCCACATATAGAAATAAGTGTAGAAGTCTGGGCGTGGTGGCTCACACCTGTAATCCCCGCACTTTGGGAGGCTGAGTCGGGTGGATCACCTGAGGTCAGGAGTTTGAGACCAGCTTGGCCTACATGGTGAAAGCCCATCTCTACTAAAAATACAAAAATTGGCCAGGTGTGGCAGTGGGCACCTGTAATCCCAGCTCCTTGGGAGGCTGAGGCAGGAGAATCGCTTGAAACCAGGAGGTGAAGGTTGCAGCGAGCCGATATCGCACCACTGCACTCCAGCTTGGGTGACAAAAGTGAAACTCCATCTCAAAAAAAAAAAAAAAAAAAAAAAAAAGGGAATAAGTGTAGAGACAGGGCAAAGGGTTGGGAGCTGTTTTGCACTGGGACTTCCCTGTACATCTTAGGTCTGCAATTTTTAGGATGCCCTGAATTGATCTGCATGAAGGTAATTTGACTCTAGATTACTACACACTCAAACCTCAGGCATATTTAAGCCATGTATTTTTTTTCTCATTAGAATTCTGATAGTTAGAATTTATTTTCCCCATTGAGATTCACTCCTGAATGTTAGTTCTGACAGTTCCCACTCTAACCTGGGAAGAACTAGAGCCACTGCTTGGCTTTGTCACTAATTAAATTAGTGATCCTGAATATGTCAATCGGCCTGATTTGATCATTCCACAATCTATACATATTTCAAAACATCACACTGTACTCCATACAGATATGTTATTATTTGTCAATTAAGTGAAAATGAAGAAAATAAACTAGTGGCCATGGGAAACAGTATTTATTTCTTCTTTTTTTTTTTAGACAGTGACAGTCTCCCTCTGTCACCCAGGCTGGAGTGCTGTGGCATGATCTTGGCTCACTGCAACCTCTGCCTCCTGGGTTCAAGTGATTCTCAAGTCTCAGCCTCCTGAGTAGCTGGGGTTACAGGTGTGCACCACCACACCCAGCTAATTTTTTGTATTTTTAGTACAGTCGGGGTTTCTCCATGTTGGCCAAGCTGGTCTCAAACTCCTGATCTCTAGTGATTCACCTGCCTGGGCCTCCCAAAGTGAGACACCACACCCAACCCAGGGAACCAGTATCCCTCCCCTCCCCTCCCTCCCCTCCCCTCCCCTCAGGGATAACAGTATCCCTCCCCCCTTCCCATCCCTTCCCCTCCCCTCCCCTCCCCTCCCCTCTCCTCTTCCTTATTTTCTTTTCTAAAACGCTGGGATTACAGGCGTGACCCACTGGGCCTGGTCGGGAACCAGTATTTCTGATGATCATTTTTTCTCATTTGTAAGACTGAAATTAGTAACAGTAGCCCTTTCGCTTCAGGAGAGTGAGTTGATACATTTGTCCTCTGTCTGCTGAACCGGTGGGTCCCACCCTGGGCTGCTGTCCTGCTTCCCCTTCCTGCAGACTGTGCTCACAGCAGGTGGAGAAAGAGCTTACATTTCTTACCGACAGCTCTTACTCAGGGAGCTCGCAGCAGTGGTGCGTGTATGCGTGCACACGCCCCTCGTGGCCGAGTCCTTTCCTCCGAACCCAGCAGAAGATCTGAACAGGTCTGAACCCCCAGGTCTCACCTCAAGGTGAGACAGGTTCGTGTCTTTTTCAACAGAGCCTCCGGACTCTGAGCACATCACGGTCGGCGGCGCCTGGGGTTTAAGCCTCCAATATTCAGTGACATTCTCAGCTGACCTCTAGGGGGCAGCATCGCACAGCCCAACTCCTCCTGCGGCCTCCTCGGGTGTGGCCCAAACCCTTAGTGCCATTCTGCAGGGCATGGTGAGCCTTCAACAAATTGCAGCTCCCACAATGGCTATGATTCCTAACTAGTTTCCTTCTTTGCCCTCTGTTGCAGCCACATGTCAGAAACGCCTGTCGACATCTGAGCCAAGGGATTTTTTTGCCTTATAGAACTTCTTAGCACTTAACATCTGAAAATCTTGCTTGACATTTGGCTTATCCTGACTTTCATTGCAGTTTTTGCTTTTACTATAGTTAATGTCTATATTTAGTTTTAAGTTCCTGGAGAGAAGGAATGTATTTTTATTTTTTATTTTTCTTTGACTCATGATCATCTCTGCTAGCTACCTCTGCACCCCCAAACAGCAGTTAACTTGGAATTAGATACAGAACAGGGTCTCAGTGAGTGTTGGTGGATGATAGTGTGATGGGTGCAGGTGGTAGGTATGTAGAAACCGTAGGTGAGACTCAGAGCCACTCTGTGCCTAGGAATTTCAGGGTATAGCCATATACCGTCCCTAAACCCACTGCAGGACTATATTCCCAAAAGCCCTGTTGTTCTGATCCACTCCCCAACCCGATTCCTCATCTTGCTGTTTCCTTATCAAATGGAGACAGTACTAACATTAATATTTACCTCATTGCCCACAACATTTGAAAAGTATATGCTTTCCTATAACTTCCTTAGGGGCTGAAGGATGAAAAGAATAGTCAAACACAGCAGCTAGGAATTTAAGGCCCAAGAGAGATCCGATGTCTTTTTCTAAAGCCTTTTGCCTCAGGGATGACCAGGTTGTTGGGGCTCACTGGCTATGAACACAGTGTGGCTCTAGGAGAAGCCTGCTGGGACCTTCTCTGCATCACTAATGGTGCCTGTCGCCCTAAGGGACCTGTGGGGCAGTGGCTGATGAGGACAGGAGTGAAGATGCTGGGGGCAGCACATTGCCCTTCCACCTCTGGACTTTTGATCATGGTTCTTTGGCCTTACATTTGTGCAGCCACTTGTGATTTTCAAACATTGTCAGGTCTCTGTTTGTATTAGGTGTTACAGGGCCTGTTGTGGCAGCCAGTACATCTGATACAGGGATTTTCCTAGAGTCACAGAGCTTACTAATGGAGGAATCAGTACTAGATTGAGTCTCTGGACATCTTCTTCTGTGCCGTTTCTTTAAATTTTTTTTTTTTTTTTGAGACGGGGTCCCACTCTGTGGCCCAGGCTGAAGTGCAGTGGTATAATCACGGCTCACTGTAGCCTCAAACTCTTGGGTATAAGCGATCCTCCTGCCTCAGCCTGCTGAGTAGCTGGGAATATAGGCACTTGCCACCACATCCAGCTAATTTTTTGAAAACTTTTTTTTCCTTTCTTTTGTAGAGACGAGGTCTTGCTATGTTTCCCAGGCTGATCTTGAACTCCTGGCCTCAAGTAATCCTCCTGCCTTGGCCTCCCAAAATGCTGGGATTACAGGCGTGAGCCACCGTGCCTATACGCTGTTTCTTGTAAGTTTCACTGCCTACTCAGAAACGTCGCCTCTCTGCAGGGCAGGAGGCAGAGTGAGTGGGGTGCCTTGGGAATGCTGGCAGTGCCTTGCCTTTTTCCTGCATTCCTGTCACTCACAGGAGTGGCTGGTCACGTCATCATTTCATGGCTTCTGAGTTGGATTAAGTTACTCAATGTGTAGCCCCTGGACGGCAACGGTGGCATCACCTGGAGTGTTACAGATGTAGATTCACAGTCCCACCCCAGGTCTGTATCAGGCTCCACGGCTCTTGCATTCACAGTGTTAGATCTTTTTTTTTTTCCATTAAATCTTTACTGCTGCCATATAAGGTACATTTTCAATTTATTTTTTATAATGTTTGTAGAGGGGAGGGATAGCATTAGGAGATATACCTAATGTAAATGATGAGTTAATGGGTGCAGCACACCAACATGGCACATGTATACAGTGTTAGATCTTTTCAGGGTATTGTCATTCCGTCATAAGACCTCTGTGGTCAGAGCTGCCCCTGTTGAGTGAACTGTCATCAAGGTGTGCATGTTGGGGGGCTGAGTGGCTCTCGCTTCCCAGGATTGGACGATATATTCAGACCCCAGGTGGACAGCCCCATGCGCTGAGTTCAGGGGTCAGATTGGCTGCCTGATGACTCTCACAAGGGCCTGTTTAAGACTCATGGGGCAGACTTCAGGCCAGGTGGGCTGTGAAACCCCATGGAGCCCACAGCCCTGAGGGCCCTGTGTCTATGGCCTCTACCTCATTCACAGGCCACCTTCAATCTTTTGTTCTCCTGCTGACCCTGTGTTCTAGGTGGACAATTTTTGCACAGTGCTGGACCATGCCAGACACTACTGAAAGTCTAAGCATTTTCCCCAATATGAACAGAAAGAAGCTCACTTTATTAACAACATAAATCTAAGAGCAGTTTCATCTTCAAACTTAACTCCCAACCACCAAAGCCCTGGCTCTTTATAAAATGTTCTTGAGACGTGCCAGGAGATCCTCAACCATTGGGAGGACATCCTCCTGTGAGCATGTGAAGCCCACGAGTGGAAGGCATCATCTTAGCAGAAGTGGTGTCAGCTTGAACCTAGCCAATTCAGCTGAAAGCAACATCCATACCAAAGGATGGCAAGTGAAAGATTTGTTCAAGGCCGGGCACGGTGGCTCACGCCTGTAATCCCAGCACTTTGGACGCTGAGGCAGGGGGATCACCTGAGGTCAAGAGTTCAAGACCAGCCTGGCCAACATGGTGAAACCCTGTTTCTGCTAAAAATACAAAAATTAGCCAGGCATGGTGGTGGGGGCCTGTAATCCCAGTTACTCAGGAGGCTGAGGCAGGAGAATGGCTTGAACCAGGGAGGTGGAGGTTGCAGTGAGCTGAGATTGTGCCACTGCACTCCAGCCTGGGCGACAGAGCAAGACTCCATCTCAAAATAAATAAATAAATAAATAAAAAATAAAAAGAAAAGAAAAGAAAAGAAAAAAGACAGTTCATTCACCCAACTTATTCAAGACTGTTATGATGGGCAAGGACAGGAGGAGGCTGGGGTTCAAAATCCTCTTTGGTAGCACAAGAGTTGAGCTTGACCACAAGCAGCAGGCTTCTCTCTATGTTGGCCACCCCCTGACTGTGGCTCAGCTAAGTGAAATGTGTTCTCACCCCAGTCTGGACAATCAGGAGAACTTTGGAAATACTGATGCTCAGCCCCCACATTGATTTCATATGCCTGGGTTGAGCCCAGGTGAAGCTGAGATGCACCCCCAGCGGAGAAGCCTTATGGTAGGTCTCTGGCTGATGAATGAAACTGAGTAGCCATCCTTGAAAAATATGCTGAGTTCTGGGCCTCGTCAGAGAAGATTCTGATTGAGTAGATTAGGGGTCAGGCCAGGGACCTGAATTTTAAAAACCCGTCTCAGGTGTGTCTGACAATCGTTCTGGGCTGGGAACTGCTGGTCTAGATGATGTTTGCACTATTGAGTGAATGCTCACATTTTCCAAAGTGTATGTTTAATATTAAACCAGTGGTTTTCATTCTGGCTGCATATTATGATCACCGGGGGAGCTTTAATAAAAAATACTGTTACCTGGGTCCCACCGCAGTCCAATTAAATCAGAGTCTTGGGGGCGGGGGGTGCTCCAGCACAAATATTTTTAAAAGCTCCCCAGTTGAATCTAATGTGCAATTAGGGTTGAGAACCTTTATATTAAACCTTGAAAGAACAAACAGAATTTACTCCTGAACTACATTTGGAGTTTGCCTTTGATTATGGTCCGCTTTTAGTTTTTTCATAGACCTAATTTGTTATTAAGAATGTAAATTATTCATTATGGTCTGATTGGTGTAAATCATATTGGATTTGTGACTTCCTTTGATCTGAATGCTAGACTTCCATAAATACAGTTGAAGACAGCTCTAGACTTTTGTCTCTGACTTTTTGATAGCTGTATCAATCTGCTGGCTCACTGGGCTCGTGAAAGAACCAAACCTTCAGGTCTCTTTCCCATGTGCTGCCATTGACGTGGCTTCCTGTGTCAGGAAGTTTTGCTAGTGATCCTTTTGCTTACTGTGGTCAGGAATGGAATGGACCTAGGTCCTGGAGAGGTGACGGGGTGACCCTTTAGGGTAGGTGAGTAATAAAAGGGCGCCCCTTCCCCTGGGCTAAGCAGCACATGCTTTGCTGTCAGAGAACGGCTGGATTTCAGACCTGCTCACTCTGTCCACCACGCACTGCTGCATTGGGCGTGAATGGCACAACCCCACGTGGCAGGAGTGAGAAGGGAGCCCCACTTGAACCACATGGGACAGGGATGGTGGAGAGTGGCTCCCCAAAGGGAGATTGAGGTGCTATTCCCAGACATGGCGAAATGGATATCGTGTAGGCCAAACCAGCCCTGGCCTTAGACTTGGGCAAGACAGGCTCCTTCTCAGGTGCTTCTTCAGGGTATTGTCATTCCATCATAAGACCTGTGTCCAGTGTCTTACCCCGTCATAAGACCTGTGTCTTCACATGCACACGTGTGTTTACTGCAGCACGATTTACAATAGCAAGGACTTGGAACCAACCCAAATGCCCATCAATGATAGACTGGATAAAGAAATTGTGGCACATATACATTTTGGAATACTATGCAGCCATAAAGAAGGATGAGTTCATGTCCTTTACAGGGAAATGGATGAAGCTGGAAGCCATCATTCTCAGCAAACTAAAACAGGAGCAGAAAACCAAACACCGCATGTGCTCACTCATAAGTGGGAGTTGACCAATGAGAACACATGGACATAGGGAGGGGAGCACCACACACCAGTGCCTGTCAGGGAGCGGGGAGTAAGGGGAGGGAGAGTATTAGGACAAATACCTAATGCATGTGGGGCTTAAAACTAGATGATGGATTGATAGGTACAGCAAACCACCATGGCACAGGTATCCCTATGTAACAAAGCTGCACATTCTGCACATGTATCCCAGAACTTAAAGTAAAATTAAAAAAAAAAAAAAGCCTGTGTCTTCTTCAGTCAAACGTCTCTGCACAGGGTGGGGCCAAGCAACTGTGCCCATACAAGCCTGAGCTGCACCACTCTGTGTCTGAAATCCCAGCCTAAGCCCACGTGGGTCTTTTCCCTGCACTGCTGTGAGAACTTTGCTTTATCTCATGTCTAAGATAAACACCCAGGATATGTCTTGTAGAGATATACTCAGTCTCAGAAATGCTTGTGCCTACTCAAAGGGGATGTGTTGGAAGGAGCCCTGGGGGGTGTCTGATTGACTGTTGATTACCTACCCCGTGCTTACCATATATTTATGCCATTTTAGTCCTTAAAACAATGGTTCTCAAAGCATGGTAACCAGACCTGCAGCATCAGCGCTACCTGGGAACTTATTAGAAATGCAGAGGTGGGAGGATCACTTGGGGTCAGGAGTTCAAGACCAGCCTGGCCAACATGGCAAAACCCCATCTCTACTAAAAATACAAAAATTAGCTGGGCATGGTGGCACGTGCCTGTAGTCCCAGCTACTCAGGAGGCTGAGGCAGGAGAATCACTTGAACCCGGAAGGCGGAGGTTGCAGTGAGCCGAGACTGCACCATTGCACTCCAACCTGGGCAACACAGCCAGACTCTGTCTCAAAAAAAAAAAAAAAAAAAAATGCAGTTGCTTGGGACCACCTGGGACCTGATGAATCAGAGACTCTGGGGGAGGGATGGGGGTAGAAATCTATGTTTTAACCCTTTAGATTATTCTGGGACTTGTTCAAGTTTGAAAACTGCTGCCTTAAAACATTCTCAGTCCTTAACATAACCCCCTGCGTGTTATCCCCACCATTCTGATAACAATCCCCAGGAGATGTCTAAGCTGCCCCAAGCAGAAAGTGGCACCTCCGTGCTGAAATGCAAACCCAAGTCCACCTAGCCTCAAAGTCCTCAGAGCTTTTTTCCACGTCCACCCTCCCTGCAAAGAAAATCTAGAAGCTAGTTTTGTTTCTGGCTCCTCCTCCCACTCTCCTTCTTTTAAGGTAGTCCACTACCTTCTTTTTCTCACTGTCTCCGATCGTGACTCTCCCACACCTGCTTTCAAAGCGTCGTCTGTGAACTAATTGGAGGTTTGAAAAGCTGGTATCAGAAGTGCCCAGTATCATTTTTATGAGCCTTCATGAATAAGAAAACAATGCCAACAAGTCAACATTGCGTGCAAATGGCAGTAAAATCCCACTTAATGGCTCCCTAGCCTTGATTTTGCAGAGTGAAATCGAAGCAAGTTTTGTTAGGCCTGCTGATTTTAAAGGAGGAGGACCCTGTGCATCCAGAGAACCCACTGAAGGATGTAGGCTGCATCATCACTCACTCTGGAAGGAAGTTAACGAAAGTACTTACTTACACCTATAACCTCCAGCGCTTTCCTCCCCAGGCTGTGAAGGGGAGGTCCTTAGCCTGCAGTGACCTGGAATATCTGCTTCCAACCTTGCAGAAATGCTGAGATCCACAAGATGGCAGCAGCCGCTCAAGCTTCGCACAGGGTCCCTGCTACTTTTGTAATTCCCAAATTAAAAATCAAACCAAACCAAACATATAGCTGCAATCTGGAAGACGCCAGATTCATTCATTCTAGGCCTGCCCCCTTTACATCCAGAACTGTTCAGAACAGAATCAATGTGAGCAAACTGCTTATAAAGGTTTTAGAGAAAAGGAATCTCAATTGTTGACTCAATTGATTAATTTATTTACTTATTTTTCCATCCTCCCAACTTTTCACTCTGAAAAGTCTCAAACCCGTAGAAAAGCCGGAAGATGAACACCTTCTTGGTCTTCACTGGGATTTATCAAATTATCACATTTAGCCACATTTATTTCATCTTTCTCTCTCTTTTTCTGGATGAAAGCTTTGAAATTTGCAGACACCCTGATACTTTACCTCTCAAGAATTCAACATGTCTCCTAAGAATAAAGACGTTTCTTTATGTAACCACAACATCATCATATCCAAGAAGTTTAACATTGATGCATTACTTGATTTATAATCATATTTAAATTGCCCCAATGGTCCCAGCAATGTTCTTTACAATAATTTTATTTCTTTTCTTTCTGTTTTTTTTTTTTTTGAGATGGAGTCTCACCCTGTCGCCCAGGCTGGAGTGCAGTGGTGTGATCTCAGCTCACCGAAGCCTCCACCTCCCAAGTAGCAGGGATTTCAGGTGCATGCCACCACACCTGGCTAATTTTTGTATTTTTAGTAGAGATGGGGTTTCACCATATCGGCTAGGCTGGTCTCGGACTCCTGACCTCCAATGATCCACCTGCCTCAGCCTCCCAAAGTGCCGGAATTACAGGTGTGAGCCACATCGCCCGGCCTACAGTAATTTTCAATCCCCTGCTACAGAGTCCATTTGAGAATCACACCCTTATGTAGTTGTCATGTCACCTTTTTTGTAGAGCTCTTCTCCTCCTCTGTTGATCTTTCAGGACATTGACATTTCTCAAAAGTCTGGTTCATGTGTTTTGTAGAATGCCCGGCACTCTGGATTTGTCTTACTGTTGCTGGATTATTAATCCAGGTTAAGTATCTTGGCAAGAATTCTACCTGGGCAATCTGGCATCCTTGTTGCATCACTTCAGGTGGCACATGATATCATGTGGTCCAATTACTGACGATGCTGAATTTGAACACCTAGCTAAGGTATCAGACCTCGGGCAGAGAACTCATTCTTGTCCTGCACCTGCAGCAATCCTGAATGGCCACCCCAGCTCCTCTCTTGACTTGCTGGTCTGTACTCTCCCTGCAGCAGCCAGAGAGATGCTCTGAAAGTGTCAGTCGGATGAGGCCATGCCTTTGCTCAAAACCTTCCTGTGGCTTCCCACCGTTCCCAGAATGGCTTCCAAACTCCTCGCCATGCCTTCACAGCCCTGCATGGTCTGGCTGCTGTCTACCTTCTTTTTCAACATTAAAATTAAAAAAAAATTTAAAATAAAAAAATTTAAATTGGCATAATAATTGTACATATTTACGAGGTTCATAGTGAAGCTGCAATACACATAATGTATAGTGATCAGGGTAATTAGCACACTCATCATCTCAAACATTTATCACTTCTTTGTGTTGGGAACATACAACATTCTCCTTCTCATTGTCTGAAACTATTAATATCTAATATCTTATTGTTAACTGTGGTCATCCTACAGTGCTATAGAACACTGTAACTTATTCTTCTTACCTAGGTGTGATTTTGTATCCTGTAACAAATCACTCCCTATTCCTCCTTGCCTGCTATACTTCCCAGCCTTTAGTATCTTCTGTTTTACTTTTTACTTCTATGAGAGCAACTGTTTCTAGCTTCCATATGAATGAGAACATGTGGTGTTTAACTTCCTGTTCCTGGCTTATTTTATTTAACATAATGTCCTCCAGTTCCATCCATGTTGCTGTGAAAACAGGATTTCATTCTTTTTTATGGCTGGATAGTATTCCATTGTGCATATACACTACATTTTCTTCATTCATCTTTGTTGGACACCTAGATTGGTTTCATATCTGGGCTATAGTGAATAGTGCTGCAATAAACGTGGGAGTGCAAAAGTCTCTTCAATGGACTGATTTCCTTTCCTTTGGATAACTGCCCGGTAGTGGAATTGCGGAACTTACAGTAGTTCTATTTGTAGTTTCTTGAGAAGCCTCCACACTTTTTCCATAGTGGCTGTACTAATTTACGATCCCATTAATAGTGGATGAGCTCCCTTTTCTCCATATCTTCACCCGCATTCATTATTTTTTGTCCTTCTGATGATAGCCACTTTACACTCTAACTAGGCGAGATGATACCTCATTGTGGTTTTGATTTGCATTTCCCTGATGATTAGTGATATTGAACATTTTTTCATATATTTGTTGGCCATTTGTATTTTTTCTTTTGAGAAACATCTGTTCAGATCACTTGCTTCTCCTCCATGTCATTCCCTCACCCCACTTTTTTTGTTTTTGTTTTTTTGTTTGAGACAGTCTCTCATTGTCACCCAGGCTGGAGTGCAGTAGCATGATCAAGGAGCACTACAGCCTGGACCTCCCAGGCTCAGGTGATCCTCCTGCCTCAGGCCCTCCTGTCCCCACAACCCTGGTAGCTGACCACACCCAGTTAATTTTTGTATTTTTGGTAGAGATAGGGTTTTGCCATGTTGCCCAGGCTGGTCTCAAACTCCTGGGCTCATGTGATCCTCTGGCCTCGGCCTCCTGAACTGCTAGAATTACTGGCATGAGTCATGATGCCTGGCCTTTTTGCCCATTTTTTAATTGGATTTTTTTTCACTGTTGAGATATATTCTGGATATATTCTGAGATATATTCTGGATATGTATTCCTCATATATTCTGGATATTAATCCCCTGTCAAATGAATAGTTTGCAAATATTTTCTCCAATTCCTTAGGTTGTCTTCTCACTCTGTTGATCATTTCCTTTGATGTGCAGAAGATTTTTAGGTTTGATGTAATCTCATTTGTTTATTTTTGTTTTTGTTGCCTGTGCTTTTGAGGTCTTCTTCATAAAATCTTTTCCCAGATCAATGTCCTGAAGCATTTCTCCTATGTTTTCTTCTGGTAGTTTTACAGTTTGGGGTCTTACATTTAGGTCTTTGATTCATCTTCAGTTGATTTTTGTATATGGTGAGAGATAGGGGTCTAGTTTCATTCTTCTGCATATGGATATCCAGTTTTCCCAACACCATTTATTGAAGAGACTGTCCTTTCCCCAGTGAGTATTCTTGATTCCTTTGTCAAAAATCAGTTGACTGTAGACACCTGGATTAATTTCTGGGTTCTCTATTTTGTTGTTCTATTTGTCTGTGTGTCTGTTTTTATGCCAGTACCATGCTGTTTTGGTTAATAAAGCTTTGTAGTGTTTTTTTTTTTTTTGCAGAATCTCCCTCTGTTGCCCAGGCTGGAGTACAGTGGTGCGATCTCAGCTCACTGCAACCTCTGCCTCCCGGGTTCTAAGTGATTCTCCTGCCTCAGCCTCTGGAGTAGCTGGAATTACAGGTGTGTGCTACCATGCCTGGCTAATTTTCTATTTTTAGTAGAGATGGGGTTTCACCATGTTGGCCAGGCTGGTCTCAAACTCCTGGTCAGTGGTCAACCCATCTTGGCCTCCTAAAGTGTTGGGATTACAGGTGTGAGCCACTACGCCCAGCCTCTTTGTAGTATATTTTGAAGCCTGGTTGTGTGATACCTCCAGCTTTGTTCTTTTTGCTCAGGATTGCTTTGGCTATTAAGGATCTTTAATGATTCCATACAAATGTTAAGATTTTTTTTTCTATTTCTGTGATGAATGCCACTGGTATTTTGATAGAGATTGCACTGAATCTGTAGGTTACTTGGGTAGTACCTGCCTACCTTCTGATCTTGTTTAGCTGTTCTCCCTCCTGCTCACCGTGTTTACCTACCTGGCCATCTTTCGGTGTTTTTGGAGACATCAAACTGCACTTTCCATTCTCTCCACCCTTAATGTTCTGGCACAGTGCCTCCCTCTTATTACCCAGGTTTCAGTTAAGATGTTAGTTTCATCTCTAGCTTATTTTTCTATGAAGCACTGATCATCAACTGAAATTAAGTACTTATTTATTCCTTTACTTTCTGGCAAGTAAGAAATGACTTACCCCATCCTACAGGTTCCCAAGATCCACGAAGGCCAACACCTGGGTTTTTTGTTTACCACTGCATCATCACCCCTAATAAAGCCCGGCACACAGTAGGTGCTCAGTAAAAGTTTGTGGATGAATGAATGAATGAATGAAATCAGCTCAATAGGGTATTGGGGCTTTTGTTTGTTTTTCTTTGAGACAGAGTCTGACTTTGTCATCTAGGCTGTAGTGCAGTGGCACAATCTTGGCTCACCGCAACCTTCGCCTCCCAGGTTCAAGTGATTCTTCTGCCTCAGTCTCTTGAGTAGTGGGGATTACAGGCACCCACAACCACGTCCGGCTAATTTTTATATTTTTAGTAAAAACAGGGTTTTACCATGTTGATCAGGCTGGTCTTGAACTCTTGACCTCAGGTTATCATCCTGCCTCGGCCTCCCAAAGTGGTGGGATTACAGGCGTGAGCCATTGAGCCAGGCCTTGACTCCAATATTATCTGAGACCAAGTTCTACTCTTCGTGGGCAGATGACCCTAGACAAACTTCTTATTGCTTTGTGCCTCATTTGCTCCATCTTTAAAATGGAACTAATCCATTTCTGTCATATAATTGGCAAGAGGAGTGATGTGATGGTGAATGTGACCAAGCTCAGTGAACCATACAACACAGTCTCCAAATATAAGGGGTTATTCTCATTCAGGGGCAGTTTTCCTGAAACAAAGAAATCCCAGTTTGTCTGAGTCTTCAGAACTTTCTTTCTGCAGCTGCCTGAGTAAGAAAAACTAGTATTTTAGTCCAGAGTGCTTCCCTGGAAGCCTTGCTGTTTAGAGCTGAAGGGTCATTAAAAGACCAGATGGCAGAAAAACCTTTTAGATTACTGTTTCCAGAAGCTCCGTGGTTTAGTTGAAAGCCCCAGTGCTCTGGCAGTGCCCCGCAGAAACAAAGATCAATAATGCCCTTTGCAATCAATGCTTTTGGTGCTCTTCACATCTGCAGGCCGTGCCTGCCCTGGCACAGCTGCCCACCTGCTGCTTTGGAGATGAGGAGTAGACCCAAGGGTTGGACATATCACACATCACCATGACAACCATAGCATGTGCATGTGTGTGTGTGTGTGTGTGTGTGTTCGTACATGTTCCCATGCTGTCCACCAGCTGCGGGATGAGGAGTGCCAGGAGCCCATGGAAGGAGGCCAAAGGGCACAGCAGGAGGCTGGGGGTAGGTGTGAGAGGGCTTGGGTGGGGAACCAAGTGACAACTTTGCCTTCCTTTTATTTTTTTGTGTTTTGATTGAGATATGATTCATATGTCATAAAATGTACCCTTTTAAGATGTACAATTCCATGGTTTCTAGTATTGAAAGGTTGTGCAACTATCACTAATTCTAGAACATTTTTGTCACTCCAAATACCCAAACACCCTTTAGCAGTCACTCCTATTCCCACTCACCTCTCCATGGATTTACCAGTTTTGGGCATTTCTTGTAGGTGGAATCATATACTGTTGTCCTTTTATGACTGACTTCTTTCCCTTAGTGTAATGTTTTTGAGGTTCATCCATGTTGCAGATGCATCAGTACTTCAGTCATCAGTACTTTTCAAGGCTGAATAATATTCCATTATATGGCTACACAACATTTTGGTTACCCATTTATCCATTGGTGGATGCTTGGGTTGTTTTCACTCTTTGGCTACCGTGCACTACACTGCTATGTTCATTTGTGTACAAGTTTTTGTGTGAACATAGGCTTTCTTTTCTCTGGGGTAATTGCTGAGTTCTTTCTCTTTCATTTCTTTTTCCTTTTTCTTCTTTTTTGAGATGGAGTTTCACTCTGTTGCCCAGGCTGGAGTGCAGTGGCACTATCTCAGCTCGCTGCAACCTCTGCCTCCCAGGTTCAAGTGATTCTTCTGCCTCAGCCTCCTGAGTAGCTGGGATTACAGGCACATGCCACAACGGCTGGCTAATTTTTGTAATTTTAGTAGTAATGGGGTTTTGCCATGTTGGCTAGGCTGGTCTCGAACTCCTGACCCCAGGTGATCTGCCTGCCTTGGCCTCCCAAAGTGCTGTGATTACAGGCGTGAGCCACCATGCCCAGCTTCTTTCCCTTTTATTGCTGGCATTCCACAGCATTGTCATGTTGAAGCCAGGTATGGAAAAGGCTTGTGGCATGAGGGAGGCCCTTGGACCCTCTGAGCTCTGAGAGTCCTGCTTTGATGACTAGTGAGTGGTGAACACAGAGGCAACCTGGAGAGCCAGCACACAACCCCCTTCCTGTTTGCCTGTGGTGCACAGCCGGCTAGCTGTATTTCCCTGTCTCCCCTGTAGTTAGCTTCAGCCCTGTGACTGTTTCAGCCAATGCAGTATGGGAGGCAGTGATGAAAAACCATTTCCAGGCCTGGCCCTACAGCCCCTGCACAGCTCTCTCCCCACCCTCTCCTCCTGTGTCTGCTGAATGAACACAGAGGATCCAGAGGGCACTTCTGCACTAAGGAGTGCCACACTGATCCGTGGAAGGCATCCACATCCTTGGTGTGGGCCTCTCTGCCAGTTCACATGAATTTGTGATGTGAACAAGAAATAAACCTTTATTATCTCAGGCCACTGATATTTTGGGGTCATTCTTACCCCAGTTAGCCTGTCCTGACTAGTACAGTTTCTTCAGGTAAGGAACAACCAACCAGTCTCTAGAACTGTCTGACAAAGGTGTCACGGCAGTTCTAGAACTGTCTGCAGAGCTTCTGGCCCTGCCTCCAGCTTCCTCCCACCTTGCCCTTGGCTCCCTCCACAGTGGGGTTTTCTGCAAGGCCTCCTCTGGATTTGATGTCTTCTGCTAAGGTGATCCATTATCCTGGAATGCCTGGAATGGAGGGGTTTCTTGAGAGTTTGATTTTCGGTTTGAAAACCGAGACCCTCCCAGGCAAACTGGGATTGTTGGTCACTTCCTGACATTCTCACCTCGTCTCTGATCTGGGACTTAGGCTGGACTCCACTGTCTTTGGCCCAGCAGGGAAGAATGCCATGTCTGTTGTGGTTAAAGTTTGGGAGCATCAAGGCATATGTATGAGGTATTTGCCATCTGTGGGTCAGATTTTAGGATCCTGCCTGTACTCTCCCAGGGCTGGAATGAGCTGGCCAGGCTGTGCTGGGAATAGATGCATGGGGTAGGTGGGGTCATCACGTCTTCAGCCAGGGCTGCCATGAAGGCAGTACTGATACACGGTGACCCATTGGATGTGCCATATGAGGTTTATTCTAATGAGGGAGGAGACCTACGAATGCTTAAAAATGAATCAGGAAATATAAGACAGGTAATGTAAGACTGGTCAGCCTGCCAAGCTAGAGGGATAGAGTATGCAAGAAGGCAGAAATGAATGGAGGACTGGAAACAGTCCTGGAAAGGGAATGATTCCATATCCATGCCCGCAAACATATCCCTTCTGCCTGGGCACTCCTGTGTGCTGCTGGTATATCTTGTGGGCCTGGGTTTATGCTCTCATCCATCCTGTTTATGCATCTGGTGACTTTTGGTTTGTTCCTGGTGTAACCTCTGGGTTCCAGTGTCTGAAGTCTTCCAATAACCTCTCCCTTGAGAAGGCCCAGGGAGGACCCCAGGCTTGCTCCTTGAGTGGGTAGGACTCATATTCGTCATCCCAAGGCTAGAGCTCAATGCAAACACACCAAGGTGGCAGGTGTGATCCTTGGATGCGTGCTGTGTAATGGTGCATCCCTAGCCTTGGCTTCCCTCCTAAACCCAGGCCCCCTCCTCATCAGTGCCCACCGCTGGTCATGGGAAGGAGCGCAGAAAGTGAGGTGGACCAGCACCATCCATCACCACCATCGGAAAACAATCATAAGCTCTTTTGTTCACAAGCCAATAGTACTGTTTTTGCTGGTTTGGCTCTGTTGTAAGCCAGCAATGAGGGAATTAAAGGACTCATTAAGGTCCTCCAATGATGTAGACAAGTGCTCTCAGTGGTCATTACCCATTAAAAGTGAATAAGACTATCAATCGAGTCAGGTATTAGCCTTGAGTTCCTTTCTCTAAGTGCAAAAGGGTGTTTTCTGGATCATGAAAACTAAATGCCCATTTCTCTTCAATCAAGTTAACACAAGGGACCTGGGGGGCAGAGTCTTACTGTTGTCGTGATGGAGGATTTGCTGAATTATCGCAACTGAGTCTTTCCAAGGTTGTTTTCATCATAGCCGCTGGAAGAGCCATTGCAGCTGTGGACACAATACAGTCAGGGGCTCTGTTGAGAGGCATATTCCCTTCTTGGTGGTGTAGGTTGGCCGGGCAAGAGAACAGGCCTGGGTGAGTGGGTCTGGCGTGGAGGAGCCACAGAATCCCTGGTTATTACCATGTATGTGCCAGGAACCAGGCAGAGCATTTCCCATGCCTTATTTCATTTTCATTCTCCTGGCAGCCCGGGGGGCATTTTTACAAAGAAGGAAACAGATACTTAGAAACTTATCCTGCTTACAAATACAGCCACCCTGGTCTGCCTCCCGGTTGTGGGGTGCTGGGGAGGATCTGGAAGGGATACTTTCTAGAAGCTGTCCAATGGGAAAGTACAAAGCTGGGCTTGCTTTGGAAAGGAGGAAGAGATGAAAGGAACAGCCCAGCGGGTGGGGCCAGCCGTGCCTGGGCAGACGCACAGGTCTTGTGGCTCTGGCCCTGAGCATTCATTGTGTGGGAGCCCCAGCCAATGACAAAGTAGAGGCAGCAGCCCTTCACTGGAGGGGACTGGAATGGGCAAGGCAGGGTGTCAGAGCACCAGCTAAGATGGTTCAGAGCTGGGCTTCCTTCCCAGCAGGGAATGGGAACGCTAACATGGAAACTGAGACAGAAGCTTGCTTGAATAGAATTGTCAACGGGGCAGGGCTTAGTAAACCTGAGACTCATGGCTCCATGAGAGAACAGGGCTCAACCTGGGCTCCCCAGACACTGGGTCTATAATTGTATGATTTATTGCAGACAACCTCTCATTATCCCCTGAGTCCTGATAAGGCAAGGCAGGGCCTGAGTGACTGAAGACAGAGTTGGGTTTTTTTCCCAGTGTGTTGAGAGCCAGAATTATTGAACTTTGGTGAGCTCTGCAGGACCTGCCTCAGATCTGCCATAAGGATGCTTTCCCTCAGTCTTCTATATGGAGCCCATGGTCAGATTTTTGAATTTGGATGCATAAAAATGATTGGAGACTGAGCTGGCTCTGACATGTATTAGCTGTGTGACCTTGGGTAAGTCTTTATTTTCATCTTAAAAATAATCCGGCCGGGTGCAGTGACTCACGCCTGTAACCCCAGCACTTTGGGAGGTGGAGGCGGGAGGATCACTTGAGGTCAGGAGTTTAAGACCAGCCTGGCCAACATGGTGAAGCCCTGTCTCTACTAAAAATACAAAAATTAGCTGGGTGTGGTGGCTAATCCCAGCTGTAAACCCAGCGACCCAGGAGGCTGAGGCAGGAGAATCACTTGAACCCGGTGAGTAGAAGTTGCAGTGAGCCGAGATAGTGCCATTGCACTCCAGCTGGACGACAAGAGCAAAACTCCATCTCAAAAAAAAAAAAAAAAAAAAAAAAATCCACAAGGCTTATTGATTTAGGCTGATTCTAAAATGTATATTGAAAAGGAAAGAAAATGGAATAGGGCAAACAATTTTGAAATAAAACAAAAAAACCTTGCAAGATTCCTACTACCTGATTTTGAGACTTACTATAAAGCTAAAGTAATCGAGACAGCATGGTATTGGAAAAATGATAGAGACATAGATCAATGGAATAGAATAGAGTCCAGAAATAGACCCACACATACATGGTCAGTCAGTTTCGACAAAGGTGTCATGGCAGTTCAATGGAGAAAGTATCGTTTTTTCAATGTTGCTGGAACAATTGGATATCCATAGGCAAAAATAAACCTTGAACCATACCTTGCCCCCTATGCAATAATTAACTCAAAATGAATCACCAACATGAATGTAAAACCTCAAACTAGAAAACTTCTAGAAGAAAACATAGGAGAAAATCTTTGTGACCTTGGGTTAGGCAAAGCTTT